ATAACAACAAAACAAACTACCATTTAGTAAAGAAAAACGTGAATAATTTGATTTCATTAAAATTACAAACTTTTTTCTTCAAAAAACATTATTTAAGGGAATAAAACTATAAACATTTGTTAAAATATCATCAAATTAAAAGAGTGAGTTTTACTGTGCAAAAATTATGACTAAATCAAATTTTTAAAAAATCTAATTTAAGATTTTTAATTTTTAAGAATCCTAGGAGAGAACATATTTTTAAGTTATTTCATTCATATTACTAATAACTACAACTTATTACATGTTTACTGTGAAGGGGATTTTACCCATATTGGCTCATTTAGTCTTCATATTTAAGTACAGTTCCATTTTTATAGATAAATAACCCAACTCAGAACATTTTATTATCCATGTCACTGTGAGATGATAAACAGGGACTTTCAAATATAAAGCCCTTCCTTTTCCCACTATGTTTTGTTGCATCTCAAGTATTTATTCAATGCAAACATGTTAACTATATTTACGTTAATTCATGCAGTCCTCTGAACCAAAGTGTAAGGGTAAATGATTTGCCTGTGTCACAGGGCTTTTACAAATGAAGGCTAATCCTGCTGTAACTCAAAGGCCTGTGCTCTCTCTACTCGCATTGCCCCCTATGATCATCTGGTCTTGAATTGTCTGTGTGTGTATTCTAATAAAATTTTATTTGGGGACACTGGAATCTTAATTTCTTAGAATTTTTAAAAACTTTTTATTTTTACATAAATTTAGATTTTCATAAAGTTTCAAAACCTTTACAGGATGTACCATTATTGTTGTACACAATCAAAACTAATCCTATCCAGTTAGGATAAATGCCTAACTGCAATTTCTCAGTCATATGGCAAATACATAGTTTTTAAAATGTGGCTGTATCATTTTACGTTCCCACCAGCAACATGAGTGATGCAGTTTATTAACATTCTTGCCAGTACTGGTGTTATCACTATTTATTAGTTTAGTCATTATCATGGCATGTAGTGATCTATCATTGTGGGTTTGTTTTTTTTTTTGTCTAATAGCTAATGATGTTGAGAATCTTTTCATATTCTTATTTTCATATTCTTATTTGTCATCTGTATATCCTCCTCAGTGAAATGCCATTTCATATATTTTGTCCATTTTCAAATTGATTTTTTACTACTGGGTTTTGAGAGTGATTTATATATTATAGCTACAAGTCCTAGGTCAGACATATGGTTTGCAAATATTTTCTCCCTATCTGTAGCTTGTCTTTTTCATTTTCCTAACAGGGTATTTCTTACTTGAATTATTTTCTCAAAATATCCAGTGAATGTTAATCTTTCTAAGCAACTTTAAACAAGGCCAACTAATAGTAAAAAACTATAGATTGTACAGTATACTGCACTTCTGCTTATAGTTCTCTATATACACAGGTCTAAGATAGCAAAAAATAAATATGATTTATTTGTTTTGCCCAATTTTCCTGCATCTTGTTTCCATAAAAAAATATTGAAGTGGCTCACAATTATTATTCAAACACCTGTCATACACATTCCATCCCTGGCCTTATCCATTCCCCCTTTATCCTTTACGTATTTGTATTAGGATAAGAACATACCCTCTTGTAGGTAACCCCCCATATAGGCACTGAGTAAGGACAGCTAAGCAAAATCCTGGCACAATTAGTGCCTGAAGACTATCTCAGTTTATAGTGGTTACTACTCAGTTATTTCCTCTTACATAATCCTTTATATATAATCATATATTAATTTATAGAATTAAAGCTTAAAGAGTATCTCAGTTTATAGTCTTACTACTCAGTTATTTCCATATATATATATAAAACTATATCTTAGTTCATAATTGCAGGAATACCTAGAGCAGACATGGTACAGAGCATGAATTAAGGAATAAGCAGCTTATAGTCGGAGGAATCTCTAGAGCGGACACGGTGCAGAGCATGATTTAAGGGAAAACAGTTATACCAGGACAAGAATCCATGACCCAGGCAGCAGCATTTAGTATCATAAAGATACCCACTGTATGACAGGCTTAGAGCAAGAGCCACTCTTCCTGATGAAAGAGTGGTAGGACCTTGCGTCCAGTTCTTATGGAAGGCTGTCCTCAGACCGGCAATCCCTCAAGCACTCTAGGGCTCAAAACCCCTCCAGATAATTGCACCTCGGTGACTGTGAACTTTATCAGCTCTTGTTACTGTGCTAGCTCAAAAGCATCCTCCTATAGAACACATTGGAAGCTGCCAGCAGGTGGTGATAGACCCTGACATCTCTGTCACAGCTGTGTGACTTAAGCATCCTCTTACAGTCTTAGGAGTAGCATGCCCTACTGCACACTGCACCCTTTTCACTGTGCATGGCCCACCGCCATGCCTCAGTGACCTAATGGGGGTGGACCTCTTACTGCACACGGCACACCTCCTTTCCTTGATGACCTAATGGGAGTGGACCCCTTGCTGCGCACTGTCCGCCTCCTAGCCTAGATGACCTAATGGGGGTGGACCCCTTATTTTATTGCTCACGACCCTATCACTATCCTTAAAAATGATTTCACTCACTACCCTGCCCCTTAACCTATGCCCAATAAATACAGATGCTTCTGGACATTCGGGGCCTCATCTGTCTCCGCTTATAGGTGGTGCGGCCCCCTGAGCCCAGCTGTACTTTCTTTGTATTTCTGTGTCCTGTCTCTAAGGGACAATCCATGACCCTGTGGGGCCCTTAGCCCTACACCTCTACCTTCCTTTCCGAAACCAAGGGCCTCTCAAGAATAATGGGAGGAAGTTTTTTTTTATTTATTATAAAATTCAAGTTATTTTGTTTAATATAGTATGGGGGATATATGAGGGGACCTTAATCTTCACAGTGCAAATGACCTGATTTTTAAAAATAACCCAAGTCCCTGTCCAAAAGCAGAGCAAAACAGAACACTACTTGCTCCAGATACAGAAAAGGTGGGGTGGGAGACATTGGAAACCATCTGAGTTGATGGGTTTTTGGAAAGGACTCTGATTAGCTCATAATGGCCACATGATACACCCTGACATCCTAGGATTAAGGCCATGAGCCATGGAATGAGGTTGAAGGACAAATTAAATAGAAAAAAAGAATTCCTAATAGCTACAATCTTGCAGTCTACTTAAGAGTTTGGTTATACTACATGAACCTGAAATAGAGGATGGATTTAAGTCTCCATTATTCCATGTGATAATGATAAAACAATTTCAAGAAATCCCAAGACCATTATATAATGAATTCCTTCTTTCCAATGTAAAGGGCATAGTGTTAGATTGCTTACTCTTTTGTTAAAATTTACTGGGTGTTAATTGTTCAGCACTGGCTAGGCACTGAGAAAATAAAAATAAACGAGAAGAGTTCCTGCTTTCAAGATATTCCTATTGTGGTAGAAGGAGACTGTGGTAGGTAGAGCGCTACAAAATATAATAGATAATATAGAAGGATGTTAAAAAAAAAAAAAAAAGAATAATCAGTTCTGCCAGGTTGAATAATAGATTTATGAGGAAGAGATATTTGAGCTAAGTCTTGCTAGATGTTTTTTAATAAAATGTTTTTCTTCTATAATGAATATGAAACAATTAGAAAAAACGGGAAAATTGAATTTTGAAGGATAAGTTCATCAGGAAAAAGCCAAAGCTTGTAAAGAAATTGTATTCATTCATTCATTCATATTCATTTAGCAAATACTAATTGCCTCCACTCCAAACTAGATTCCAAGAACCCAACAAATGGTACTTGCCAAACGGAACCTGTCAGCTAGCAGGATGATAGAGATCAGACAGTTGCCACACAATGTGAAAAGTGCCATGAAAAAGTAGCATAGGGTGATGTGGAAGCACATGGTTTCCTCTAATCTGGACAGACTGACGATACTGAGATTTACAGTTAGGCTAGGTTCATTTTAAGCACTGCCTTATTGTATTTAATGACATTTCAAAACATGGAGTGAAAGGAAAAGTCCAGGTGAACCGTTAGAAGCTTCCAGTGATGTGCCTAACTTTGCAAATGAACAAAAATCTAAGGTAGACATATCCTGGAAACTTCTCAAAGTTTGCCTGCACTTTTCCATTCCAAATAGTGGCTTGGACATTTAACAAACAGAGGCCTCAAAGGGTTATCCTGGTGAGATTTCGTAGATACAGCAGGGGCTTGAAGGAATGTTGAGTCCATTCCTCTTGGGCTCCTTTTACGAATCCGGTTCTGTGCTAGCTCCGTGAGTAAATGAAAAACGCCTTCCAAATTTGGATGCCAGAGTTAAACAGCAAAGCAGCGAAGGAACCCATATCAGCTAAGTGTGGGAAAGGAAATATGTACCAGTCGCTTTATACCTCCGTACGTTATTTTAACCTCATAACTCTTATCAATTCAGATGATGAAACGGTTAAGAAACAGAGGCTGCGCACCTGGCTGTCCACCGACACGCTGAGCCACAGGAGCAGCCGCGCCCTGCCGCGGGGTCCAGGGCCCTCCGAGGGTTCGGGTCTGAACGCCTAGGAATGTGCCTCTGGCTCCTGCGTTTCTCGGCCTGGTTTCCTGCCGGGACGCCGCTGGCTAGCATCGTGCCTGACCCTCAATGCTCCATCCCTGGTAGTTGGGAGGACGAAAAATAAAATCCCTCTCTAATCGGTCCTCACCGCAGCCCTGTGCCAGGCGGTCACACGGCAGCCTCCAGAGTCGAAGGCGCTCTGCGGAGACTCAGGTCGTGTCCCGAACGTCCCACCTCAGGGCTTCCTGAACGTCTCTCCAAGTCCCTCCGGCCCTAAGGCCTCCGGCCAACCCCAGGCCTCCACTCCGGCCATCCCCAGGCCTCCACTCCGGCCAACCCCAGGCCTCCACTCCGGCCATCCCCAGGTCTCCACTCCGGCCATCCCCAGGCCTCCACTCCGGCCAACCCCAGGCCTCCACTCCGGCCAACCCCAGGCCTCCACTCCGCCCGACCGCTCCCCGCGGCCGGAAGCGGCGGCGTCGCGCGCAGTAAATGCGTGCCGGGCGGCTCCACTTCCGGCGGTTGGTGGAGCCACCGTGTCTTACCAGTCAGCCGGCCTGAGTCCCGGAGGCCCCTCAACAGGAGCATCCCGAGGAGGCGCCCCGACGGGCGTCCTTCCCGTCCCCTGGGTCCTTTGAACCTAATTTGGCCGGGACTCACCTTCCGGCGGCGGAGGATTTCGCGGCCCTGACTCTCCGGAAGTGGGGGCCGTCAAGATGTGCTCGACGCCCGGGCTGCCGGCGCCCGGGGCCTCGCTGGCCCTGCGGGTGTCCTTCGTGGACGTGCATCCCGACGTGATCCCGGTGCAGCTGTGGGGACTGGTGGGCGAGCGGCGGGGCGAGTACCTGCGGCTGAGCCGGGAGATCCAGGAGGCGGCGGCCACGCGCGGCCAGTGGGCGCTCGGCAGCGCCTCGGCGTCGCCCGGCGAGCTGTGCCTGGTGCAGGTGGGGCTTCTGTGGCACCGCTGCCGCGTGGTCAGCCGGCAGGCGCAGGAGAGTCGCGTCTTCCTGCTGGACGAGGGCCGCACCATCACTGCCGGCGCGGGCTCGCTGGCGCCGGGGCGCAGCGAGTTCTTCCACTTGCCCTCGGAGGTGCTGGGCTGCGTGCTGGCGGGCCTGGTGCCGGCGGGCTGCGGCGCGGGCGCCGGCGAACCGCAGCACTGGCCCGCCGACGCCGTGGACTTCCTGAGCAACCTTCAGGGCAAGGAGGTGCACGGGTGCGTCCTGGACGTGCTGCTGCTCCATCGCCTGGTCCTGCTGGAGGTGCCCGAGGTGTTCCAACAGATGGGGGAGCTGGGCCTGGCCCGGAGGGTCCCCGACAGCCTCTTCCGCTTGCTGCTGGAGCGCTATCTCTCAGCTGCGGCTGCTAGCGTGGGCCCCGGGATTCCGGTTCTCTCGCGAATCCCGCCCAAGCAAAAGCAGCCTGGCCTGGATTACTTCTATCCGCAGCTGCAGCTCGGCGTGACGGAGCCCGTGGTCGTAACCCAAGTGTGCCATCCCCACCGCATTCACTGCCAGCTCCGCAGCCTCTCACAGGAGATCCATTGCCTCTCTGAGAGCATGGCCCAGGTATACCGGGGTTCCACCGGGACAGGGGATGAGAACTCTACTAGCGTCACCTGGGAGGAGAGAGAGGAGAGCCCAGACAAGCCGGGCTCTCCTTGTGCATCCTGTGGCCTGGATGGACATTGGTATAGAGCGCTCTTGCTTGAGACTTTTCGGCCTCAGCGCTGTGCTCAGGTGCTTCACGTGGACTATGGAAGGAAGGAGTTAGTGAGTTGCAGCAGCCTTCGGTACTTGCTGCCTGAATATTTTCGAATGCCAGTGGTGACTTACCCTTGTGCTTTGTATGGACTCTGGGACAGTGGGAGAGGCTGGTCTCGGTCACAGGTCGGTGACCTGAAGGCACTGATACTGGGCCAGGCAGTGAATGCAAAGATTGAATTTTATTGCTCCTTTGAGCGTGTATATTATGTCACCCTGTATGGAGAAGATGGGATTAATCTGAACCGTGTGTTCGGAGTACAGTCGTGTTGCTTAGCTGACCGAGTCCTTCAGAGCCGGGGAACAGAGGAAGAGGAAACAGAAACATCTCCTCAGTCTCAGTCTCCTGCTGAAGAAGTAGATGAAGAGATTTCACTCCCAGCCTTAAGATCTATCAGGTTAAAGATGAACACCTTCTATGATGCGCAGGTAGAGTTTGTTAAAGATCCTTCCGAGTTCTGGATTAGGTTGAGGAAACACAATGTCACCTTCAGTAAGCTGATGAGGAGAATGTGTGGTTTCTATTCCTCTGCCAGTAAGCTGGATGGTGTCGTTTTGAAACCAGAACCTGATGACCTTTGCTGTGTCAAGTGGAAAGAAAATGGCTATTATAGGGCCATAGTCACCAAATTGGATGACAAGAGTGTGAATGTATTTCTAGTTGACCGAGGCAATTCGGAAAATGTGGATTGGTATGATGTAAGGATGCTGCTTCCTCAGTTTAGGAAGCCACCAATATTGGCTCTGAAGTGCACCCTAGCTGATATTTGGCCTTTAGGAAAAACTTGGAGCCAAGAGGCAGTTTCCTTTTTTAAAAAAACTGTGCTCCACAAAGAATTAGTTATCCATATTCTTGATAAACAGGATCATCAATATGTTATTGAGATTCTTGATGAATCAAGAACAGGGGAAGAAAACATTAGTAAGGTAATTGCCCAAGCTGGATATGCCAAGTATCAGGAATTTGAAACAAAGGAAAATATCCCAGTAAATGCCCACTCCCCAGGGCACGTTTCAAATCATTTTACTGTGGAGAATAACAAAATACCTTCTGCCAAGACAGGAGAGGGAGAACAGAAAGCCAAGGGAGAGAATAAAACCACATCTGTTTCAAAAGCTTTGAGTGACACAACAGTTGTGACAAATAGTTCAACTAAACTGGTTTTTCGGGAAAAAGAGAAAAGAGCATCTGTTTATTTTCCTCTTACACAGAATTTCTTGGAAATTAAGCCAGGCTCTAATAGTAAAAGAGAGCTGGAAGTTGGAAGTACAGTAGAAGTTAGAGTGTCTTATATTGAAAACCCTGGCTATTTCTGGTGTCAGCTGACCAGGAACATACAAGCGCTTAAAACTCTAATGTCTAATATTCAGGACTATTGCAAAAATACAGCTGCTCCTTACCAGGGAACCACCCGCGCTTGTTTGGCTAAGCGAACGGTAAGCAGAGAATGGTCCAGAGCTCTCATTAGTGGGATACAATCTATGGAACATGTCAATGTAATATTTGTAGATTATGGGGACAGAGAAATGGTATCTGTGCAGAATATTTATTCAATTAGCGAAGAGTTTCTCAAGGTTAAGGCTCAGGCTTTTAGGTGCAGTCTTTATAATATAATTCAACCAACTGGCCAAAATCCTTTTGTTTGGGGTGAAAAGGCAATACAAGCTTTTAATGAATTTGTAGATAATGCATGGCAAACAAATCTAGAATTAAAATGTACAATATTTGCTCTGGCTTCAATTAATGATGAAGAACTATTTAACGTTGTGGATTTGCTAACACCCTTTCAGAGTGCATGCCATTTCTTGGTAGAAAAGAGACTTGCGAGACCAGTAAAACTTCAGAAGCCTCTGAAGTCCTCTCTTCAGCTACATTCTTACTTCTATTCTACACATGATATGAAAATTGGAAGTGAAGAATTAGTGTATATAACGCACGTTGATGACCCTTGGACATTTTATTGCCAGCTGGCAAGAAATGCAAATATTTTAGAACAGTTGTCATGTAATATTATACAATTAAGTAAAGTTTTGCTGAATTTAAAAACATCTCCTTTGGACCCTGGAACTTTGTGCCTTGCCAGGTATACTGATGGAAACTGGTATAGGGGCATAGTAATAGAGAAAGAGCCAAAGAAAGTCTTCTTTGTTGATTTCGGGAACATTTATGTAGTAACAAGTGATGATCTGCTTCCAATACCTAGTGATGCATATGATGTCTTACTTTTGCCCATGCAAGCTGTCAGATGTTCATTATCTGATATTCCTGATCATATACCAGAAGAAGTTGTGGTGTGGTTTCAGGAGACTATTTTAGATAACTCTTTGAAGGCTTTAGTTGTAGCAAAAGATCCAGATGGAACACTAATTATAGAACTATATGATGACAATATTCAAATTAGTGCTAGTATTAATAAGAAGTTGGGGCTACTTAGTTACGAAGATAGTAAAAAGGAAAGTGAACTGCTCCTCTCTACAATTGAAACTCTTGCAGAAAAAAATGAGAATATGAAGTTGCCATGTACAGAGTATTTAATTCAATCAGGGAACAAGTTACATAGTAAAGAGATGTTGGAAGAGTCATATAAACCTAAGATCAACTCATCATACAAGGAACTCAACCTTTTACAAAGTTTAATGGAAACAAATTTAGTCACTCAATATCAAGACAGTGTGGGAAATAAAAATCAAGTGTTTCCATTGACAACAGAAAAGAAAGAAATTTCTGCTGAGCCACCCTTGAAAACAGCAAAAGTAGAAGCCACTCTTTCAGAGAGAAAAATAGGAGATTCATGTGACAAAGATTTTCCTCTGAAATTTTGTGAGATCCCACAGAAGACTATAATGCCTGGCTTTAAAACAACTGTGTATGTTTCTCATGTAAATGATCTATCAGACTTTTATGTTCAACTAATAGAAGACGAATCTGAAATTAATCATCTTTCAGAGAGATTAAACAGTGTTAAAACAAGGCCCAAATCTTACGCAGGTCCACCTTTGCAAAGAGGAGATGTGATATGTGCTATTTTCCCAGAAGACAGTTTATGGTATCGTGCTGTGGTCAAGGAGCAACAACCCAGTGACCTTCTCTCTGTGCAGTTTATAGATTATGGCAATGTTTCTGTGGTTCATATTAACAAAATAGGTAGACTTGACCTTGTTAATGCAGTATTGCCAGCACTGTGTATTCATTGCTCCTTGCAGGGATTTGGGGTTCCTAACAATAACAATTCTAAGAAAATGATGCATTACTTTTCCGAGCGGACCAGTGAGGCTGTAATAAGATGTGAATTTGTTAAATTTCGAGACAGATGGGAAGTTACTCTTGCTGATGAACATGGGACCATAGCAGACGATATGATTAGCAGGTATGCTCTCAGTGAAAAATCTCAAATAGAACTTTCTACCCAAGTAATTAAAGGTGCCAGTTCAAAGTCTATTAACAAATTAGACATTGACACTTCAGTATTTCTTAACTGGTATAATCCAGAAACAAAAATGATAAGAGCTTATGCCACTGTAATAGACGGACCTGAGTATTTTTGGTGTCAGTTCGCTGATACCAAGAAACTTCAGTATTTAGAAGTAGAAGTACAGACTGCTGGAAAACAGGTAGTAGACAGGAGAAATTGTATTCCATGTCCTCATATTGGAGATCCTTGTATAGTAAGATACAGAGAAGATGGACATTATTATAGGGCACTTATCACTAATATTTATGAAGATAATTTTGTGTCTGTCAGGCTTGTGGACTTTGGAAACATTGAAGACTGTGTGGACCCAAAAGCACTCTGGACCATTCCTTCTGAACTTTTGTCGGTTCCCATGCAAGCCTTTCCATGTTGCCTCTCGGGATTTAACGTTTCAGAAGGTATATGCTCTCAAGAGGGAAATGACTATTTCTATGAAATAATAACAGAGGATGTGTTGGAAATAACAATATTAGAAATCAAAAGGGATGTCTGTGATATCCCTTTAGCAATTGTCAACTTGAAAAGCAAAGGTGAAAGTATTAATGAGAAAATGGAGAAATATTCTAAGATTGGTATTACTAAGAGTACTCTTCCCTATGAAAATACTGGCTCAGAAATAAAGAAGGCTCTTGGGTCCTCCTGTCTTGATGTAGGACTTAAGAAATTAAGTAATAAAGCTGTACAAAATAAAACATTGTATATGGAACCACAGATAGATGAGCTTGCTGAAAGAACTGAAAAAGATGTAAACATTACTGAAACCAAGCCAGGTAAATTCTGTGACCCTAAAACTGTTAGCATTTGTGAAGGTTTTAAAAACCCCTGCAAAGATAAAATTGATGCTGAGGAACTGGAAGCTGAAGTAGAGTGCCATCTGATTGACAAAGCAGAGTTTGATGATAAATACCTAATTACAGGATTTAACACGTTACTGCCACATGCTAATGAAATAAAGGAGATACTAGAACTGAATTCACTTGAGGTGCCACTTTCTCCTGATGATGAATTAAAAGAATTCTTAGAACTGGAATCTATTGAGTTACAGAATTCTCTGGTGGTGGATGAAGAAAAAGAGGAGCTCAGCCTCGTGCCACCGAGTGTGCCGCTCTCCCAAGACCATGCCACAGAAGGCACCCTGGAGCCATTCATAGTGCAGCTTCCTCTCTGCTGTGAAGCTGAGAAACAGCCAGAACTAGAACTACCTACAACCCAGCTGCCTTTAGATGACAAGATGGATTCTTTGTCTTTAGGAATTAGTCAGAAAACACAAGAATCCATGTGTGCTGAGGACATGAGAAAGTCAAGTTGTGTGGAATATTTTGATGACCAGCAGCATCTACATGGAGCAGATTGCGATCCTAAAACGCAGATTAAAATGAATCTATATGAAGAAGAATTTATAGAGTATAAAAACAAGGGTGCCATTTCAGCATTGATGCCTTTTTTCTCTGAGGAGGAAAGCAGTGATGGAAGCAAGCACAATAATGATTTACCAGATCATGTCTCAGGTATGTGAATTTTTTTTTCTCCTTTTTCTTTCTTTCTTTCTTTCTTTCTTTCTTTTTTCTTTTTTTGAGGCAGGATTTTGTTCTATCACCTAGGCTGGAGTGCAGTGGTGTGCTCATGGCTCACTTGCAGCCTCTGGCTCCTGGGCTCAAGTGGTCCTCTCACCTTAGCCTCCCAAGTAGCTGGGACTTCAGGCTTGTGCCACCATACCTAGGTAATTTTTTAATTTTTTTGTAGAGACAGGGGTAAATCATGTTATCCAGGCTGGTCTCGAACTCCTGGGCTCAAGCAGTCCTCCTGCCTCAGCCTCCCAAAGTGTCCTTTTAAGACTACCGTAGTTACTTTCCAAAGTTGTTACTTCTTTTAAAGAAAAGAGAATGATTCTTATATAGATTTCCAAAAAATAATTTTTTGTAAGAATAATTAAAATCCTAGGAATTGAATCAGATTGGATTTTATGAAGCGTATTTTAAGCTTGGGGAAGACATATTGTGAAATCAGTGCCAAATACTATATGCTGGAAGAAATGCTGAAATATTAATTTTGTGTTTAAAAATTGGATCCTTAAAATCTGTGAGTCACCAAAAGGTAATCACATTTAGAATGTAATCACATTTATAATCAAGAGGGTATGTGTTGGTAAGTTTTATAAAACTTGGTATTCCCTTGCCAAGCACTACTATAGGCATAAATTTACAGTAGAAATTATTTTAACAGGGTCTTTTAGACTTAACTGTATCATGCATTGATCTTACAATTCATTAGAAACTCTCAAACAAAAAATTAGATTTAGGGAGCCCATATTAATCAAAAAAGTTGCCATGAGTAAATCTTGGAGAACGTTTATTATATTAACTTTTTTATAAATGATTTTTACTGCTGTTTTCTTTGCTACTTAAGAGTTGTTACATTAAATGGGTAACTCTAGCTTTTTATAATCAATGCTATACGTTTGCAATTTTTATATTATTAAATTTGAACCAATGTACAAAATAAGGAAAAGATAGAACAGTGAGAATGATAATCAGCAGGAAGTGACCGATGTTAACACCATAATGTATTTTCTTTTGTTGTCTTTTACCCTCCTTGTGTATGTCTACTACATGCAGTTTTAAAAACAATTTAGATCATACTATCATACAGTATTGAATCCTGAATTTTAATCCCTTAAAAGTGTTTTTAAAATATTTTCTTTGCATTGTATTCCATCCTATGGGTACACTTAAGTTATCTAAGTATTACCCTTGGATTAGATATTTATTCCTCATTGTTATATTTTCATAATGCTGTTAACTCTGTGATAAGAATGCTCACTTGCAGCGTGCTGCTTTGCTATATAAATGGCTGTTGTAAGCACAGAAAACACCACTTGTGTTAACAGTACCATATTTTAGTAGTGATTTTCAGTGTTAGAAATCAGATTCACATCCTGATGATGGTGATTTTTTGTTTGGTTGGTTGGTTTAGGAAAGCAGTAAGAGATTATACGGGGAGGGGCACTGGAAGAATTTTAAATAAAACTGAGGGAGACAGACATACCAGTGTACTAATTACATGATATTGATGATATAAAAACAATGCAGATTAGGAAAATGCTTTGCTTGTGTATGTTACATTAAGGAATTAAGAGATATGCATTGGGTCTTACTCAATTCAATTTGGCAGCTCAACCACAGAACACCTACCCTCTGAAAGCCTTTACTGTTGGATCTAAATGTGTTGTATGGTCAAGTCTAAGAAACACATGGTCTAAATGTGAGATTTTAGAAACAGCTGAAGGAGGAACAAGGGTAAGTGACGTTTAAGTACTTTATCTCCAAATGTATTTGCGGACTGTTAAGGAAGTTTTACCAGACTCTGTCAGACTAGAGAATGCGATGGAACAAATGTTTACCTGCTTATTCCCCCTGATAATTTGATGTAATGCACAAATATTTTTAATGACCATATATAAGAATCCTAACAAGAAATCATCCTAGGCTCTTTCATCTATTTCTCTTACCCTTCCTAAATTCTGTGAGTCACCTAGTTCTGCACTTTACACATCTTGTCTCTTAGTTGGAACTTTTTATATCTAATGCCAGTACCTTAGTTGAGTCATTTCACAACTACATTACTCTAATAACCTATTTGGTTTACTTCTTCTAGTCTTCCTTAAATTGATTTTCCACAGTGTCAGGGTGAAGTTTGGCAATTGCAAATCTGACTACATCATTCTTGTGTAAAACTTATTAAAGACTTCCAGTTGATTCTGTTTCTTCTGTAATTTGAAAACCACCTGTTCCAGAATTACCTGGTATATTTTTTCAATTGCATTATAGATTCCTAGGCCTTGGCCTGGCCTGCTGATTCAGAATTTCTGGGATTAGGATTCCAGGGTTTGCATTCATATTCCATTAAAATTGGAGAGCCACTGGCCTGGAACATTAAAGTCAAGCTCATTAACATGGCACAGGAAGTCCTTTAGGGTTAAGTGTTTATGTACTCTCTTTGGCCCTAATTCTTTGTATTTTGTACTTTATAGTAAATGGACATCAAAGTGTTTGGCTTCTTGTACATATACTATCTGCTTGCTGTTACAATGTATTTAATAATGCAGTTCTGTTTTACCTATATTCCCTCCTGTTACCAAACTGGTTAATTCCAATTTACTTATAGCCATTGCCTCTACCAGGGAGTATTCACTGACATTATTTTCTAAACTTATCCTTGTCCTCAACTTCCCCCCATCCCCGCAAAAAAAAAAAAAAAAAAAAAAAAAAAAAGCCTTATACCCCCTTCTACAAAGTCTGTACCTCCTATAGTTTATTGTAATTATCTATTTAGAGGTTTTTCTCCACTAGATTTTGAACTATTTGATGTTGAAATTTTCTCTTTGATCGCCAGTCATAGATACTCTATATATGTTTGGGAAACTGAAGTAACATGGTGTTTGAAACATAATATTGAAGTTCAATAAAATCATTTTAATTGTCTTTTAAAGTATTTCATTTTAGGGCCAGGTGTGGTGGCTCACGCCTGTAATCCCAGCACTTGGGAGGCCAACGCAGGTGGATCACTTGAGCCAAGGAGTTGGGAGACCAGACTGGGCAGCATAGTGAAACCCTGTCTCCACCAAAAATACGAAATAATAGCTGGGTGTGGTGGGTGTGCACCTGTAGTCCCAGTTACTCAGGAGGCTGAGGTGGGCAGATCTCCTGAGCCCAGGAGGTCGAGGCCACAGTAAGCTGTGATCATGCCACTGCCCTCCAGCCTGGGCAATAGAGCAAGACTGTGTCTCAAAATAATAATAATAATAATTAGTTTTAAAATCAATTGCTCTGGTACATAAATCAGTTTCATTTTTTGAACTGGACACTTAAAAAAATGTTATGTTTTCTCTTGTAGGTTTTGAACCTTTCAAATGGTATCGAGGAGATAGTGAACCCTGAGAATGTCTGGAATTGCATACCCAAATTAGATAAGAGTCCACCTAAGGTATGGAATTCTATAAATAGTAATTAGTGAGAGCATTGTTCTTCATTTTGAAAGGTGATTTAACAAACTATTTCCAAAGCCCTTGTGTTTGGAAAAATGAGAAGAAAAATCCTGTAACAATATTTAAAACAGCAATAACAAAATCAATGATTTTGGTCTTTATGTCAAGTATTCTTTTGAGAAAATTAGTTATTAATGTTTTACTCCTTGATTAGAAGATTTTTCAGAGTTCATGAGTCTTATAAAATACATATGAGACACAGAAAACCTGGGAAACATGATAATAAAAATGAGACAGTAATAATAACCTGTAGTATACCCATCCAGAGAGAAATAGGTTAGCCAGTTTGGTTTTCTTTTATAATTTTTCTGTTTATATGGAATATAAGTATTTCATCTACATATTTTAGACACAATTGATTTCATCCTATGTATAGTGTTGTATTCTGTTTTTCTTCACTTAAAATTGTATGGTGGGCAATTTACTGTGACATTGTGATGTGTTGGGCATTTGAATTTATCCTGTTTGGGGTTTGTTGAACTTCTTGAACTTCTCACTTTGCAATCTTCGTCTGATAGTTTCAATATCTGGTCATCTTGGGGTTTGCAGCTGTTGATTTTCTTTTCTCCATAGAGAAATTGTCAGCTTTCCTTGGTTCTTTGTATTTTGCGTAATTTTGGATTATATCCTGAATGTTTTGCATATTATATTCTAAGACTTTGGGTCCTGTTAAAATCTGGAGAATGTTAAAGTTTTTGTTGCAGTAGGTGGTCAGTTGGTTTCAATTCATACCACATGTTCTCTTTCTCCTTCTGTAGTTGGTGATTCTCCTGTCAGTTTAGTTTGCAAAGCCTTTGCTATGTTGTTCAGGACTTCCTGGTACATAAGCCACCAGGGTAGTCAGGGACTTTGGTCAGTGGTTTATATAGTAGTTAGGTGTCAAAGATTTTGCTGTGCTTATTTGGCTCTGTTCTGCATATGCATAGCTCAGGGGCGATCTGGGGACTTACAGTTCATATGTAGCATTAGGAGTTAAACATTTTCAACTCCTTTTCTCTCTAAGATTTCCTCCACATTTTCTGGCACCCAGGATCCTCTTCTATCAAGCCTCTAATGGTCTCCCTTTTTCTGGTCCCCTAGCCAGACAGTATTTTTCTCTCAACCTCTGTTCCACCACACAGTTCTGTTTGAGCTTGCCTTAAGAGTGAAGCAGATAGAGAAAAGAGGACAAAAACAATCTCCTATTACTCTCCAGATGACAGAAAGCTCTTTTTCTGGTTCCAGTGGCTAGACAGGTCATCTCTCACATTTGTAGGTACCTGTGTTGCCATAACTGTCACCCTGGGGCTAGCTACCCTCAGTTCATGGCCAGAAGAAAAATAGAAAAAAAACCAAAAATACCACAATACACCAAAGGGATTTCTTACTCTCTAGCATTCAGGGTTCCTTTATCCCTAGTCCTCTGGCTATAAATAAGAAATTTCTTGGCCGGGTGTAGTAGCTTACACCTGTAATCCCAGCACTTTGGGAGGCCAAGGCGGGCGGATCACGAGGTCAGGAGATCAAGACCATCCTGGCCAACATGGTGAAACCCTGTCTCTACTAAAAAAAAAAAAAAAAAAAAAAAAAATCAGCCAGGCGTGGTTGTGCACACCTGTAGTCCCAGCTACTCAGGAGGTTGAGGCAGGGGAATCACTTGAACCCAGGAGGCAGAGGTTGCAGTCAGTGGAGATTGTGCCACTGCACTCCATCCTAGGCAACAGAGCAAGACTCCATCTCAAAAAAAGAAAAAAAAGAAAAAGAAAAATTTCTCTGAGGAGTTTTACTGTCTACTCTAGTTGGGCAGTTTTGACTTGGCCCACTCTCAGATCAAAATCAGGAGACAAAGAAGTAAAAAAAGAAAAGGAAACTCACTCCTATTGTGAGTCATTATTAAAGTTTTTACTTTAATTCTCAATCTACCTGTTCCTGTTCATTTTGGAGTCTTTGAATAGTTGTTTTTTTTTATATTCTATCTAGAATTTTTCATTGTAATCAGTGAAAGAAAGAGGTTATAGTCAGCTTATTCCATCTTGGCTGTAGCCAGAAGGCCATAAACAACATTTGATAGCTGAATAATGCTGCATGACAGTAGTGAGCCATAATGTATTAAATCATTTCCCATGTAGTATTGGATATTTAGGTCACTTGAAATTTTTACTATTAAAAATCATTGAACATTTATTTACCTTATGTTAGTTACTTTTTTGCTTATGTCAAAAATAAGTCTGCTACACTTTTTGCACCAGTATTAACTAAAACATTTTTTACATTCGGTTGTCTCCATCCATTAGTTATGAAGAATCCACGGCCATATGTACATGTAAGATTCAGTTTGGATAAAGTTCCCTATGCCTGCCACATAGAAAAGGACTATTTAGGACTATTTAAAGTAGACATAAAATAATATATCTAGATAAATAAATACATAACTACCTCTGGCTTTGACTAAGCCACTTAGCAGACATATGGAAACTACTTATGAGTAAGGCTCTAAAAATTTTTATTTGATTACTAATGGGATTTAGATATTTCCCTCAAATTTGAGGAAGCTCTTAAATCAGGATACCTGTCTACAAATGAGCTAGTTTTCCTTACAAAGTGAATACTGTATTATGCCTGACTTTTTTAAATGATATATCCAGTCACTATGATCTAGGAATCTAATTATTTTTTTAAAAAATTTGGTGTCTTATATGAGTTACTGTATTTTACCATAAGAATATCTTACTAGTTTCTGTATCACATAATGCATGCCTACATGATGCTATTCGTTATTAAAAGGAATATAGGAGAAATATTCCCCTTTTCATTGTCCTTTAATAAAGCCTATGTGGCTCTATGTGGATACTGTGTTTGAGTAGCATTCCCTTGAACAATGATGTCCCTCCCTCCTTCACCAGTTACCACAGTTGTTGGGGGTTTGGGAGCTAAAAATTGGAAAAGGGCACTATACTCCCTGTGTAGAGTGCTCCAGGGATATGTTCTAGAGAAATGAGTATTTGAAGAATAGAAAACAAACTTCACATGATTCTTCATTATAAAATCAGATTTTCATAATTTCAATAGAAATACATTTTATTATTTACATATTTTCTCATTTATCTGTGGTTCCATTTCTGATTTAAATTATTTTGTACTTATAACAAAGAATCAATAGTAATTCAAAGTTTCCTTTTGTTAGGATATATCCCAAAGAGTAGGAAAAGATCTTTACTTCATGTCGTCGGATGATACCACAATGAAAGGTAACTTGTGTTTTTAAAACAAAATACTTTTACCCCCTGGACTTACCAAGTCTTAAAAATATTGTTATGCTGAACCCCTCAAACAAAAATGGTTTATCAATTTTTTTGGAGGGAAGTAGTAGGGAAGAAAAATCACTTTAGGTAAAAAAAGTTTAAATATACTTATGGGGATGTATAACCAAGATGAGGATTTCTTGAAATATAGGAAATTTGTTAATGGAATTAATCTTGAAAGTTAAATTATGAATGTGATAAATTTATATTTTAAGGAATTTTCTCTGTTAATTAGCTCATATCTTTAAATGATTTTTGTTAAATAATCTCTTGGAATTTCTGAATCTTTAGTTTACATAAGATTCAAATTATTGGCTGGTTCTTGGTATTGCACATACCTGTTCATACATAATGCAGTGGTTCTTAGAATTGAGGCACATTGAGAATAAAATCAGCTCATGATAGCATTAGTATCATGTGAAAATACACACCAATCAAAAAGGACAAAGAATCAATTGATTATCAGCCTTCATAACACCATTCTAGCAAAATATAAAATAAGCCAATTTCATAATTTTTTAGAGAAACTTGATTTGATGATGGTACAGTGTGAGAACTAAAATATTATGAAGAAAATAAAACATTATTTCTATAGATATAATGCCCTGTAGTAATTAGAATACTCATCTGTTCCCCACCTCTTTTAGAGAGCATTACATTTGTCATGGTAACCCACATGTAAATAATTTCTTTTGTTTGTGTTTCTTTCTCTGTTTGAAGTTTTTCTTTTTTTGTTTTAGAAAAGGGGTTTGGAAGTGATGGAGATTTAACTGTGGATCTATAGCTGTGGCCAATCAGTCAGAAGCTGCTCTTGAACAAGTGGCATCTTACCCAGACCAACAGAGTATTTGAGAAATTGGAAAACATATAACCACAAGAAGTTGTCATTTTCAAAAACTTTCATATAGGTGGAAAACAAAATAGGTCTCAGGTTGACTGTGGAGTATATTTATAGTGATACTGTGGAGTATATTTATAGTGATACTGTTGTATATATGGATCTGGGATCTTTCCTTTGCCTTTTATTGTCTTATGTTTCTAATTTGTTAGGAGGATTTATTTTGCTAAACAGTTTACTAAGAAACTACATTTCAAAAAACTGTTCTGGGCCAGGCTTGGTGGCTCACACCTGTAATCCCAGCACTTTGGGAGGCCGAGGTGGGCAGATCACTTGAGGTCAGGAATTCGAGACCAGCCTGACCAACATGGTGAAACCCAGTCTCTACTAAAATATAAAAAATTAGCTGGGTGTGGTGGTGCACACCTGTAATCCCAGCTACTCTGGAAGCAGAGGCAGGAGAATCACTTGAACCGAGAAAACAAAAGTTGCAGTGAGCCAAGGTTGTACCACTGCACTCCAGCCTGGGTGACAGAGCAAGGCTCTGTCTCAAAAAAAAAAATAAAAAATAAAAAATATTTTGGTACCTTTCAAATACAGTGTTTAAGTTAAAATAGAAAAATATAGGCTCATGACAAGTAACATTATTTGATACTACTTAGGAGGATAGTGTTTTAGAAGTATCTCCTTCAGAATTTTTGTCTTGATTTTGAAGCTTTGCCTGTCGGTCTATACGTTTGACTAACATTCTGTTTGAATTTGGAAGTATTCTAATACAAGATTTGAATAAAGTTTATCCTTAAATAAAGTTTATCGTTAATGTGATGGTCTTATTTCATTAAAAAGGAAGTCAAATTCTTAAACATACTTGGTTCCTTCTCTCCTCTGTAATGGAGGATTGGGGAAAACATGGTAATAAATATAAGCACTTATATATTAGTCACTTGTACTTTAAATGTATTTTTTCACTTTAATCATCAACTTTGAGGTACATATCAATGTTATCCATATTTTATAGGCGAGAAAATTGAAGCTTCTTAGAGAAGTTAAATAAGTTGCCTAAGGTCAGCTAGCTAGTGAGTCTCAGAGGCTTGGTAAAACCCAGACCCACCTAACTTTAAAGCCCATGACTTTAAACTTCATCTTGCGAAGCATAGATCTTAGTTTCTGAAAACAGAGCTTAGCTATATACTGCTGAACAGATATGTGACATGAGAAAATTATGTAATATTTTGAGCTTTGATCTCTATCTGTAAAGTGGTGGTAATTAAACCTTTCTTGCAGTGTTTTGGAAATAATTGATGTAAAGTCCCTGAAAAGGAGTAGGCATTTGGTAAATGTTTCTTTCTTTTTTTCTGAAAAATACTCATTGTGAACTATGCTAGGTTATTTCTTTTTAACCTTTTTAGATATTTTCAATAGTTATTTTCTCTTTTCAGCATCAGCATGGACCACCACCAAAAGATTGTTTAAAAAAAAAAAAAGTGTTGAATGAGACATCCATACAGTTGACATGTTTATTTCTACAATGAATAGGGAGAAGGTTTGCTAAATGAGACTGGGGTAATAAAGGTGTATGTCTATGAAGCATTATCAGACTCTGAACCCTAATAGAAATAGAATTACGAACCTTAAAAACCAGGTATGATTTCAGTAGATGGTTTTGTATTAAAGTAATTGAGGTAAATGAGTATATTACTTATTCATGGGATAATGAATAGACAAGTTTGGCTTACTCATATAGACAATATAGTGTGAACTGCCAGGAGCAAAGCTCAGAGAAGATGCATTAGGGTCAGATTATAGAAAGCCTTCATTTTCAAGCTGAGTTTAGCTCCCTATTTTAAAAAATTTAATCTGAATGGCTACAGAAGTGAAATTTCTCAGAATGAGTGACTTTTCACCTGAAACCAGTAAGATAGGACTAAGGTACCAAATGAGTGGTATACTTTTTTATATCCCTTAGGAAATAAAATCATTTTCCATGATTCCCGTATTTATAAGTGTATAAACTCTTAAGCTATATTTTTACCTCCATTTAATCATGTCATTCTGTTTTACTACTACGTATAGAATTGAAAACATTAAAAATTATTGAAATATGAAGAAGCTAAATGTAATTCTGAATGTTTTATTATCCTTCACAGCCTTTGGGTGAGTAACTAATGTATTATAACTGGAATACCTACTGTAAGCTATAATACCAATGAAACTTTTCTTTAGTAAGTAGAATGCCTTAAAGAATTAAAGAAAATGCCCAAAATTACCGATTTTCTCTAATCCATTGCCTTCATCTTATCTCTAATATTCTTAACCCTTCTCTACCCCTCATTTAGTCATGATTTGAAATTGTGGGGTACCACCAATCCTGTACTAAAACAATGGCTTTTGCTTGATCTGATTTTTGTTACCATGACCAGAAGTCAAGAAGTGCTACCAAATGCTACTTAGAATATCATGCTGCTAAAACTAACCCTACTGCCCAAAATAGAGAATAAAAGGCAAATTTTGTTTTTATTATATGTATAGGGAGTCTTGTATCATTGCAACAGTTTTCCACTGGCATTTTGCCTGTTTTAATCTACTTGTCTATCAGAGTAATGTAAAAGCAGTTTTTAACTTTAACACTAAAAAGGAATCGAATCATCTTAGTAAAATTTAAATTTAGGTTGATATGAGTATTGTATACTGTATTCTTTACATGTAAAGGGAAAAATTTCTTAGCCCAAGTTTCAATCACCACTATAGTATCACCCATATTTTAAAATGAGTCCTTTGGGAAAATACATTAAAAGTCTGTCTCTTTCTCTCATGTACACATATACGCATAATTTTAGACAGTTTTGGAACAAGACTTTAACAAAATCCCTTTAATCCTATTTCTCTATTCCTGAAGAGTTCCGTAGCATGATGTGCGGATTGGTTGTGTTAATGTTGGTCCCTGGGATAAGATTCTGATCATCTCCTTCAATCAAGCGGTCCCACTGATCAAAATCTTTATGAAGTCCTGTAAAATATAAAGCATTAATGAACATATTAAACTTCTGAGTGCATTAAACAATTTGGTGCCCCTAGGTGGCAATACAGACTTAGGAATTACACAGGTTGCATCAGGACAGTGGAGACAAGGTGCTCTGTGTCAGCTGCCCCATGGCTGCCTTAGCAGCTGAATGCAAATGGGATAGGAGTGAGGCAACCTGCTGTCAGTATCCTCAACATGGTAGTCCACTTCAGTCTTCATATGAAGACTGTTAGCTTTCAACAGTTGGGTTTGCTTTCTGTGTTATACAGTATGTAAAGCAGCAAAATTGACTTTCTCAAATTTCTGTTTTCAAATTGATTTACTGCTTTGTTACATTGTAAACCAGCTGGAAATAGTTAAAATGGTACTAAAGCTATATTCAGATAGATAGTTTTATCCTGAGAGTCATCTTATTTAGGTCATGAAAAAAATACTAGTTTCTTACCTAAATGCTTTTGCAAGAATGCTAATGAAGCTTTGTTGCTAAGATCAATAGCTACATCTGAATCTATATCTCCCTTTAATTTGAGCATATGTCCAATTACTTTGCCAGTTCCAAAAGTAAAGTCAGCAAAATTCTGATGGACTGAACCCCTAGAGAAAAGAAAAACAAGAGAAACAAGACATTTAAAAGTAACATTGTTTAATAAAATTATTTTTTTAATTTAGGGTACCGGAAACATACTGGCCTTGTTGGGTCTATTTACTGAAAACCAAGGAAATAAAACTTGCAATTTGATCTACTTAAATGTATTTCAAGGGTCACAGGCTGTTTTGTTTCGGGATCCCAGAGTATATTCATCTTTCTTGTAGAAACACAACTTAAAGAATCCTGGTCTTGCTTGGTATCTTGATTTTAAAAGGAATGATTCCTGCTTTTTAGTGAATAGGAATACTGCCAAGTATTGGAATGCATTGTGTGTTGAAAGGTCCCTGAACTCAAAGCCAGAACCTGCCACCTCCCCTCACCATTGATCACGCTATGTATTTGATGCTAGTCAAATCACTTTAGATTTAAGCCTTAGGGGAAACAGATTTCAAACAAACACCTTTCCCAGTATTAAACTCTAAGCACTTTAAAAATATCATTTACACTTCTCTCTGAATTCATCAATAGCCTAACGTCAAATAGAATAATAGCCTTTTTTAAGTGCCCATTTTCTACCACCACTGGGACATTTGACAGTTAATGGCTTTCTTGCACTTCTTCTCTTTTTGTTTCTTTAACGTTGCACCTTCCCTTCTGACCCTAACCACTCTGTGTTCTTCAGTGGCTCTTCACCCATTTCCCACTGGCTGAATGTAGGCATTCCTTAGGATTCTATTGCCAGACCAACTCTTTTCTCACTTTATAATCTCTTCTACTTCAAATGTTTCATCTATGATATCATGTAAATTATGTAATCATCCAATTTGTGGCCAGACATCTGTATACAGATTTCCCAATTCTCAAGCTAAGATATGGTGAAGTTAAAAGACATCTTCCCAGCCCTGCCCAAAGCGACTCTGCCTCTTCACTCTGCTGGTTCTTATAAACAAACCATCATTCTTACAGTTACCTAAGCTCAACACAACTCTACTTAACTCCCTCTCACTATTCCCCACACTCTAATAGGAAACTTGAACGTCAGAAACATAAAGAAGATGAACAGCAGGATTATGAGACAATTGAGAGCAGAAGCTTGGATGCTCTGACAGCGGAGAACTGGCCTGAGGAAGAGACATGGTAGGAGCAGCATAAATGATGAGAAGCAGCAGCAAAGAGGAGGGTCGTAGTAGCCAAGGGAGCAGGAAGAGGGGTGGTCAGCAATGTTGAAAGGATGCAGAGAGCAAGGTTGAGGCTGTGAAGAGGCTGCTGATGTGGCGTGCAGCAGGTTTTTAGTGCTTTTGCTTTGGCATCTGGTGGGGCCCCAGAAAGTTAGACCACAAGAGTCAAAGAGTAAGTAGAAATAAGCACATGCAATAATTAATATTGTCTATTCTTTGAAGGTTTCTAGCAGAGAAGGGAATAAAGACAAGGTGAGAACCTAGAAAGGAAGTAGGGTTGAGGGAAGGTTAGGTGATTTGTATTATTTCTGTCTTAGAATTAGAGACACTTGAACATAGACATAAGCTAAATGGAAGTCCTTGCCTGAAATACCTAAATGCTTCCTTACTATCTAAACTCTCTTGATCTTACAAAATACAATTTTAGTATCATTTAAGAATCCCTTTCAGTTGGAAGAAACCCCTCTGTTCTCTGAGCCCATAGTGGTTATCGCCTATACTCTGTATGTTTCCTTCCTGCCTCTTCTCTTCTAAAGAAATCACGTTTCAGATAGGAGAGGGGTAAGTTCAGGTCTACCTTTGCTTTGTAATATTCTCACTGAGAGTTCAAAACCTCATCAGGAGTTCTTTTTCACATCCACGATATAAGGATTGCCAACACTTGATGGTACCCCATTATAGCTTTGGGAAATTTATAAATGCATATTCTTTCTCATCACATAAGTATATGGCAGGTCTCAATAGGTAATCTGACTTTTTCTTTAAAGAGTTCCCAGCCCAGCCTAATGATGGAATACTTCCCCCTAGCTCTGCTCCCAAAAATGTATAGGCATGTTCTGGTATTTAGATTAAAGTAGCATGTAGTATAATGCTAGTTTTAATTACCAGTGATATAGTTTGGATCTGTATCCCCACCAAATCACATGTCAAGTTGGAATCCCCCATGTCAGAGGTAGGGGCTGGTGGGAGGTGATTGGAACACAGGGGTAGTTTCTCATAGTTTCACACCATCTCCGTTGGTGCTGTCACTGTGATAGTTCTTGTGAGACCTGGTTATTTAAAAGTATGCAGTACCTTTACCCATCCCTCTCTTCCTCCTGCTCCAGCCATGTGAAGTGCTCATGCCCCCACTGCCATCTGCCATAATTATAAGTTTCCTGAGGCCTCCCCAGAAGCTGAGCAGATGCCAACATCATGCCTCCTGTACAGGCTGCAGAACTGTGAGCCAATTAAACCTCTTTTCTTTATAAATTACCAGGTCTTAGGTATTTCTTTATAGCAATGTGAGAACAGACTAATATAACCACTATATATACTATATACATTAACATTCCCATTTTTAAAAAAGTAAGTCTAAATGTACTTAGAAACTGAGATTATCTAATACTCTCCTCAATGAAAGTCTAAACAACCAATTCAGCAATTCTGTAATGGTTACCAAATGCTATCCACTGATATTTACCCAAGCTTCAAGTTTGTTTCAGATAATGAAATAAGTCACTAACACTTACCTGATTGTAATCATCTTTCTTTCTTTACCAGGTGAGTAGCATTTTTTCATTTTTAGGATATTAGCAGGATATTGGAAATATTCAGAGTTAATAAAAAAGAGAGGCTGAGGAATTCTGGAATATACTTCTTCACCCAGTGGAAACATCCATGCATCCAGGGCAATACCACATCTGTAGATATTTGTTGACAATGATGAAAGAAGGCTGGTTACATGTGAGCCAACATTTGGGACTTCCTAATAATGCTAGGATTGGTGGACACACACCATACCAGTTTATTATGGATTATCTCATTGGGCTCAAGAGGTATTATGCTTCATTGTGGGAAAGGAATATGATTAGCTTTGTAAGGCAACAGACCTGGAATTAAGTATACTCATTTTCTTTACATGCCTTTTAGGAATTGCAACCATTTGAATGATATATCCTTAAAATTTTTTATTCAAAATAATTTCTTCAATACTGTAGAGTATCTGAAAAAGGATAATAAATGCACCTCTGTTTTCAGAGCTTTTATCTACATTGTACTGTATTTATTACAGCTTTTTCAGAGTAACAACTGGACCCATTACTTTATATTTAGAGGCGCTTCAGCTGAAAAACTGTCTGAGGGTTGAAGAAAAACATATGGAGCATATCATTTGAAAATGTAACTGACATCCTTTTTAAAAGTAAGTTTATTCTATGTTTCCTGACCATTTTCTAAATGAATGAAAGAAGAGAATTCTCTTACACTGAAATAGACTTCTAAGAAATCTGAGGTGAAGTTTCACAAACGATCCTGCCCGCTCTCTGTACGGTTGGTCCTATGTGATCTCGTCAGTCTGGAATGAAGTAGTTCAAGAAAGAAAAGGTTCCTGCAAGCTAGAAAACTGGGGTCTGGTCCCGACTCCTAACCAGATAATCATAATTTTAGATCCAGCTCCATCTTAGAAAAGCCTAATTAAAAAATGTCCTGCCCACTAGAGAAGTCTGGCAGTACTGTATGATGACAATATTATTATCACAATCATTATGTCACAAAAATTATATAAATATAAATTTTAAGTGAAAAGTGTTAAGCCCTTGGGTAGACAAAAATAACAAGGGAAAACATATGGGAGTGGGAGAGATTTTAATAGCAGGAGAAGCAGATGTTTTAGCCTAGGAAAATGTATATAGAGTACTTGACGGAGGCAAAAAATAAATAAATAAATAGCCTTATAAACTCCAAGAGATGGCTTCTTCACTAAGAATTTAATTTAAAAAATTCTATCTTACATGAGTTATTACTCCCCCTCTTCCAATAATTGGCTATTCTCTTGCTCTACTATCTTATTTTCTTACCTGAATCTCTGATCTTCACTGAGAGTCTGAATAACTGTTGCTCCTCCAAAAGAATGTCCAATTACTGCTACTTTTTCTCTATCTATAGAGTCCTGTGTGAAAAAGCATGACATAAATTTATATATATATATATATATATATATATATATATATATATATATATCTCATGGTGTTAGAAGAAATGATTTTGTCAATCATATAATTGTTCATTTAATGGAGATGGTTAAATACCTTAATTTCTTATAAAATAGAATATACATATACACACATACATTCATACATATCATACACACATATATACATATACATATAAAAACACATTTACATATATGTGTAAATATATATATATCATATGTAAAGGTTTGAAAGTAAACTTTTTATTTTTTATTTATTTTTTATTGCATTTTAGGGGGAAAGTAAACTTAATGGTCTTCATACATCAGTTCTGATTTCTGCCTCTCCTCACCCCATGTTTATTAGTTTGTTCATTCCATGAGTATTTATTGAGTACCTCCTCTGTGCCAGGCACTGCAGTCTCATTTCAGTGAGCTTACAGTCCATCAGGGAAGAAAGTCATACAGAGGCATGATATAATATAATACAGTGGCACCAAGGAACACACATGACAGACAGCGAGCCCAGTCCAGGAGTGAGCACTGGGGTCCAAGAAAGCTTCTTAGAGGAGGTGATGCTTAACTGGAATCTTGAAATTAGGTAGGAGTTAGTTAAGGGGAAGGGTGTGTCAAACCAAGGGGACAATATAAACAAAGGCAAGGATGCAGAAAAGAGTGGGTGCTTGAGGTGACAACAAATTTCTTCATTGTATTTGGAGAACAGATCATCATCTTACTCTCTAGTTTCCCCCGTTCCCTGCACTCCACATGCCACACACACTTTTGAGTCTTTGCTTATACTGCCCACTCTGCCTGATATTTTTCCACCTGCTCCAAAACTTCTGTCAAATTTTCAAGATCAAGCTTAAAAACATGCAGGAGCTGTCCATGAAATAATAATACTTCCACAGGAGTTAAGTTGAACCATATGACATTGTTATTTTTGTAGATCAAAACTGACTAGCTATTGGCAATTTCATATCTAGTCCAAGATAATGCATTCTTCATTGCTGCAATATATTACTTGTACTTGTGTGTGTGTGTGTGTGTGTGTGTGTGTGTGTGTGTGTTGGGGGGACAGTGGTTGCAGCCCTTTGTCATACTGTACCTTGCAATATATCAGAAAATCAATGACAAAAAACAATAAAGAACTGTAGGAAAAGGAAAAAATTACTTTTTTTTTAGCTTACCTTCAGTTGTTCCATATCAAACTTTATATCTAATGCATTCTTCACTGGCTTTCCATGATCAATGTCAAGAATCAGACTGAGAGCTTGGGAACATTCTTTTGCTCTTTGCTGTACCTAATCATTAGAAGAAGGAAATAACAAAGTAAAAAGTTATAACACTTATTTTAAAGTTTGTGTACAAGTTGTGTGTGGGAAGAATGGTTGGTCCTCTATAAACTGGAAATGTGATTAGTGATTATAATACATGCTACCATAATGACACAGGCATCAGCTTTGCACACAGGTATAGCTTAGTCCAAATCCTGGATCTGTTGCTTACCTACTATGTGACTTGAGATGATTTACTTAACCTCTCTGAGTTTCCATTGATTGTATAATAATGCCTACCTAAAGGAAATGTGGGTGGGCTCAAATGTAATAACATATGTAATATACCCACTACAAAGAAGAAGCCAATACACTTCACTTCACTTAATTGCCCTAATAGCTCTGTAAGACGAATAATGTCGTTATTCATTTATTTTGTAACAAAATTAAGTGGTGGAGCCAGGATTCAAACACAGAAAGTTGGGTTCTAAGGTGGCTGGAGTGCAGTGGCGCAATCTTGGCTCACTGCAACCTCCACCTCCTGGGTTCAAGCAATTCTCCTGCCTCAGCCTCCCGAGTAGCTGAGACTCCAGGTGCGCACCACCACGCCCAGCTAATTTTTGTATTTTTAGTAGAGATGGGGTTTCACCATGTTGGCCAAGATGGTCTCAATCTCTTGACCTCATGATCCACCTGCCTCAGCCTCCCAAAGTGCTGGGATTACAGGCGTCAGCCACCGCACCTGGCCGGCCCCACACTCTTAATTCTACTGTATACTGTCTCTCTGAAAAGTAATCTTTTTATATTGCCTATAAGGGAGAATCTATTAATTTATTTTCTAGCACTTTTTAGATTCTAAAATTAGAAGTCGTAATTCAAGGGAATTCTGAATATTCACTGTCACCTCCCAAATTTTTGTATTTGCCTTTATTTTTACTATGAACCAGTCATTCCATTAAGGGAATTTTACTACTCTGGGAATCTATTGACAGATCTTTTGGGAATGGGAAATAGGAGAGCTAGGAGATGAACTTGACATATGCAAAATTAAATTAACAAATGACATCCTTTTGTACATGATTTTAGGTCACCATCCACCTCTCCTTTCATTGCAGTGTACCTGCTTATTTCGTATATGCATATCCTCTTGTTCCAGGGTTCTAAAATAGAGCCAAGACTTGTTCCCCATTTCTACAGCAGATTGGTCCTTGAAATAGTAAGTTGCAGATGCCGATCCATCTCTATAATACAAGCAAAATTATTATTTATGCATGCTCCTTTTCCCTTCCTCATCTGACCCCTATTTCTCAATTCCATCCTTGGCTCAACTTCCTTTGATCTTTTGACTTCCCTTTCTTCTTCTACTGTCTACTTTCTCTTAAATTAAAGAAGACCCTAAAGGAGTTCCAGGAAAAAAACCTTATTGTCCTTTGTCAAGTTGCAGGTAAACTAAATCCATTCTGTCTTCCTAATTTTGGGAAGCAATGTTAGCCATGTTGAAACCCGCTCTCGGGAATCAAATCCCGGCACTGCTACTTACTAGTTGTGTGACTTTGGGCAAATTACCCTTTATCACCTCTATATTCCTCTCCCTTAAAACAACAACAACAATAATAATAACCATCTAATAGGATTGTTATGAAGACTAAATGAGATGGTATATTAAAAACATTTCACATAGGACATGGCAGGCAATAAACACTCTAGAAATGTTAGATATTTTTAAGTCAACAATCAAACCCAATCTCCTTTTTTGCTCATCATGTAATCATACTTGGAAGTTTCATCAACATTTTAAATAAACTTTTATGAAAATTAGAAACATAGTTATGGGCATTAACGTTCCCTGTAATTGGCCAAAGAGCCCAATTACATCAGGTAACATACCTGTGTTCTACAGCAGCAACTATAAACCCATGAGATGCCAGGTCAATACCAATAGCAGAATAAAGTGTCCTTCAAAACAAAAAGAGGGAAGCATTATAACTACCAGTCATGATTACAAGGCTGTGTCCACTAATGAAACAGGGAACGTGGAGGCCATTACACCCCTATAGTAGTGCCCTGGGGGAGAACGGAGAGCTATGGTTCTTAAAGGAGCGTGATTTTGTTTCTTAGGGGATATTTGACAATCTCTGGAGGTATTTTCATTATCACCAATGTAGGCGAGAGTACTACTGGAGTCTGGTGGGTAAAGGGATGCTGTCAAACATCCTACAATGCACAGGGCAACGCTTCACAACAAGAAGTTATCTGGTCCAAAACGTCAAAGACTGCTGAGGTTGAGAAAGCCAGTACAGTGATTGTTAATATTGTCTTTGAGAGTTTGGTGTTTTAATCTTGGCTCTGCCACTCACCAGCTATATGATTTTAGGTAATTACTGCATTTTTGTCCTCACCTGTAAAATGGGCCTAAGAGCAAAGCATTTGTTTTAGAATAGTTGTAAGGTTTTGCTAAGATAACGTACATAGGAAATCAGTACGGTATGGTAGTTATGAGAATGAAACCTGCAGTTTGACCACTGAGTTTGAACACTGGTTCTACCACTTGTTAGCTGTGTACCTTTGATAAGTCACAATATTTTCTCTGCCTTGGTTCTTTATCTATAAAATGGTGATGCTATAATAGTACGGTATCCCATCAGTGAGGATCAATCGAATTAATACATTTTCATTACTCATAATATTTGAAACAGTGAAATATTTAACACGTTAGCTGTTATTTAAATGATTGGACTGGATGAAATAATTGAAAAATCATGTGCTAAGCACTGCATTTATGCTGTCTTCCACATCATTTGCACAACCTTTTCCTCATACCATGCATGACGCAGGAAATGTCCACAGAAAATAAAAAGGAGGTAGCTAGAAACTATGTCTTTGCTGCTGAAGACACAGGACCTTTTCAAGAGGGGGAAATGATCTGGCACAGCGATTAGTAAACTTTTTCTGTTGAAAGCCAGACAGTAAATACTTCCAGGTTTGTGGGCCATACAGTCTTTGTCACCACTAGTGAACTCTGATGTTGCAGGACAAAAGTAGCTATAGACAATGTACAAAAATGAATGGGTGTGTCTGTGTTCCAATAAAACTTTATAGAAATAGGCAGTGGGCTGGATTTGGCCCTTGAGTTCTAATTTGTCAATCACTAGTGTGGGAGAAATCAAACAGCTAGCTGAACTACAACTAAAGTGCTGAAGAGAATTCTTTTTTTCAGGTGCTACCCAACTTCTTCCCAGCTAAAAGACTCTCTTACTTTCTGCATCTTACAATCCCTTGAGGTAGAAGAGGGGTGACAGTTGAGAAAGTGGTGGAAGAAAGTGAAGAGGGCTGTTGGTGTCCTGAAAATGTGCCATTCAGCTGTCATGCTACATACAGCATAGGTAGCTAAAGACCCTATCCAGCTTCTGCCCTCTGGATCCATCACCATAGTCAAGTAGAAGCTAAGCATCCAGTCACCTGCTCCCAGAGACTTAGCACAGTGTGGGTACTAACATTAGCCCATTCCTATGAGATGCAGGAGTCTTGAGAAGCAAATTTGGTCAAGCACTCCTTCCATTGGCCTGGCTCAGTATTTCTTAAAACTGTGCTATAGTCTGAGGTTCTTTTTACCCAATCCTTCTCCCTTCCCCATCACCTTTTCAAGTGTCCAACCTGTAGCATGTTAATAAGGTTCTCTCTCTCTTTTCCTGTTCCTTCTCTGTCCTTCACAGATATTTCTCTTAATAAATGCCTTTTACAGCTCATCTATTCTTGGTTTCTCAGACGTCCTAAACTTCACTGAGGATAATTTTAAAAGCATAAATATTACAATATAGAAGGGCAATTATCAAAAATGCAATACCCTCTCTTCTCTGCTGTGAGGCTAATCCCAGTGAGGTGGTAATAGGGAAAAAAACTACTTGCCAAGACAGGGCTAGGACTGATCAATAGACCCAAAGCCAATTATTGAGGAAACCCAACTCCTCCAGACAAGGGCCTGCGTGACATTCCAAAATCTGCTATTTCTTTTTTAAATAAAAAAACTGTCATTTATTCCTAGAGGCTGAAGTTGTTCAACCTTTCAAACATTACCTGAATGCTCCAAGACCATGAGAAAAAACAATGAGTGGATATTTTTCACCAGTCCTCAGCGGGGAATTCCAGTTTGCAGGAGTTGTCACAGAACCTAGACAACAACAGGAGATTATAGTTAGTGATTTCTCTGAGTGTTGCTAGAATTTGATTCAAATCTCATTAGCATAAAATGCAGACCCATCTAATTTATATCTACTTTTTTATGATGAATAGTAAATTCATTTAAAAGACTGCTACTAGATACCCACCAACCAAATACCTGAATTGTTAAGTTCTTTTCTCGGACCATAGGGTCATCCATGATGAGTTCTTAATGCCAGCTGTGTACTTAAGGTGAGAGATTTTCCTACTCATCAGTGTATTCACAAAGGCTGCTACTTACTGCTGTTGCCAGGTTTTGGAAAAACTTTGAAGGGAATGTTCTGAAATCAAACTACCTATACTACCCAAAAAAACCAAACTACCCATAAAACCTCAGCTGCATTACGCTGAGAGCCAGAATCTAAGAATCAGAGACTCTGCTCCTTATAATTTGGTCATAATCATGCAGCCAAAGGTAGAGAAACCACTGACTTCATACTGAGTCGTGGATGCATCTCTGCCACTTCCTAGCTATGGATCTTGGGCAAGTTCCTCAAACTTTCTGTGCCTCAGATTCCTCTTCTGTAAAACTGAGAAAATGGTATCTCTTTTATAGGGTTTTTTGTGAGAATTTTATTTAATTAGGTAATATATGTAAAGCACCTATCCATTCACATAGTAAGGGGCTCAAAAATGAAAATATTGTCTTCTTTCACTTCTCAGATTTTAGTTTTTATTGTCACCATTATTATTAGCAATCATTTGTGTTTCACCTTCTCATTATAAAATGCAGATGTGGTCATGAAGACTGAATGTGATGAGGAAGTGATTTATAAGGTTTTTGCAACATAAATATGCAGAGTTACAGTATTTTAATTTGTTTTTTTTTTTTTTTTTTTTTGAGACGGAGTTTCACTCTTGTTACCCAGGCTGGAGTGCAATGGCGCGATCTCGGCTCACTGCAACCTCCGCCTCCTGGGTTCAGGCAATTCTCCTGCCTCAGCCTCCTGAGTAGCTGGGATTACAGGCACGCGCCACCATGCCCAGCTAATTTTTTGTATTTTTAGTAGAGACGGGGTTTCACCATGTTGACCAGGATGGTCTAGATCTCTTGACCTCGTGATCCACCCGCCTCGGCCTCCCAAAGTGCTGGGATTACAGGTATAAGTGGTTTTTAAGAAAATTAGAAGCTGATGTTTAAGATGAGTCCTAAAAGTTGTAGATAGTTTTGAGGGAGAAACGTGGAGACACAGATAACATCAGCCCAACATCCGTAGTGTCTAGTCAAACAGATAAGGAAGGAAGGAAAATTCTACATTAGTATAATGTAGAAAATAAGTAAAGAATGCACATCAGATTGTCTTAGTGATGGGGGTAGGTGATGGGAATGAGAGTAGAGTCTCTTTAGGCATTAGCTTTGACTCCTCCGTTTTAGATTTGGAGAGTTTAGTGGCTTCTACTTTTTTTTCTTTTTTGGTCTGACTTTAGCACAGAGCATGCAGGATAGTGGCTACACCAGAGAACCTGCTATTCTAACCACATTATTGCCCTCTCCATGGTACGTCAGATGGAAAACTAAACAGCAGTCATAGAAAGATGTCAGAGTCCGTCTGATACTCTTGGCCACCCCCATCCAACTCAAGATGGAGAAGATGAGAACTCTTGCTTCTATCATAGTTTCCTGGGCTTTAAAGAAATAATTTTACCTTATCATTTTAGGAGATATTTACACTGGAGAAAAATCTACTTTGGCCTTAACTGCCTGAAATTTTTGTTGTTTTCAAAATTTTCTTATATACTAGAGCTTACAAAGAAGGATCAACAGAAATCTTACCAAAGAGTAACCTCAAAATGTTGCCCACAAGCCAGTGTCTTCCAAGAAATTTACTGAGACCCCAAAAATATTCTTTGTTTGGGATCCAAAGGGTGTCAAGGCGATCATCATCTTGGGATGGGTAATATAAGCGCAAGAAGGTGCCCTGTTAAGAAAGAAATTAATGTACTTTTAGAGAAGCTGCTTCTCAGACATATTCCAGCAGCTATTTTGCTTATTTCATTAGCACGGACCCAAGTACCTCTGTGTTCACAAAGAGGTCTAGAGAACTTTTTAGGCTGCTGTTGTGATTGAAGACAGTCATGAAAGAAAAACAGCAAAACAATATTTTATCTCAATGAAAAGAAAATATAAGCAGCCTGGCTTCAGATATTAAGGAAGTGAAAAATAGGGTTTATAGATAAATTAATCAGACAATAGCAAAGAATTGAGGAATGGCTAAACTAATAAAAGGCTTCATATGAAAAAATACACATTGCAAAATGAGTCTTTCTCAGGTGAGGGCAAGGACACATTTGAACACCTTCGAGTGGGCCATAGTGACAGACAATATTAGAGTATCAGTATAAGTCTGATAAATCAAAGCATTACCTTATTAGTGTGATCAAACATTAAATCTGTACAACCAACAGAATAAGGCCCATTTCCCCGGGGAATTTTAGTTTCGCCAGAGCTTGCAGCAGCCATCACTACTTGTATTTTGTTGACCCATCCTGAAAAACAAGTATATATTATTTCATTTGTCATCTATCACACATCAGATTTTATTATGCAAAGAAATTCCAGTGGAATCAAGTTACTTCCCACAGTTTCTGGCCTTCATTCTTTCTCAAAATAACAAGTAAAATACACAAATATTGAGGGTCTGCTCTGTTTGAAACACTCTGTAGGGGTTTTGGAGGGTAAAGAGATGAAGGTAGACATTGCCCTTCTCCCAAGTTGCCTTGGACTGTTACCTCCTAAATGTTTACAGCCTTGCCCTCTCATTCTACTTCTATCCAGAGTATATTAAAGATGATTTCACAGATCTGTTTTTCCTAAACATGAACTTTATCTCACATTTCCAATTTGTGCCTACAACTTATCCTTCAACATCTCTACCTGATGTCCTTTTCACAAGAATGTCAAAGCCATTTAATTTCCAAAATGAAACTCAATGACCATCTTTCAATTCCCCCTTCTCACCTTCTAGCCACACAGCCTGCAACTCAAGAGCTCCTCATCTCCTGCACTGCAAGCCAGAAACCTGGGAATCATCCTATTCTCCTATCTCTTTCTCAGCAACCCCCTATATTCAACCAAGCCTCTATTTCTAACATCAGTTTTTAGGTTAGGAAGATCTCCACAATCTATCTCTGACCCTCTAGCTCAGCTGTCTCACTGATGTCCTCATTGTCTCCTGACCAGGCTGTTACTCTCTCTTCCAACTGTTCTATCCACCTTGGATCTTGACCCCTTCAGACACATCCTTCACACAGCTCCTGGAGGGATTTAAAGCACAAATAACACCAGACAATTCTGAAAATCCTTCAATGGCTTCCTATCAGCAAATGTTCTTTCCTTGAATGAGGAATGTATTGTAATCTCTTTAGAAGGCAGTTTGTAGGAGGAATTTAAATGTACACATGCTTTCCTAAGCAAACACACTGCTACTTGCACAAATGTGGCCTATCCTTTCAGGGTTCTGGGGTTGAAACATACTGAGGTTCACAGGTGCACAAGTTAAATCCCAATTTCTCAGCACTGCAAAGAAACCCTCCACTGGAGGCCCATTGCCTTGTACTCTTCTTCTGCATATTCCCCTTAAGTTATCCCCCTTTCTTGTGCTACAGCACTCCTTAGCTACACACTGGGTTGACTGATGCCACTGCACCTTTGTAAATGCTACTGCCTATGCTTAAATCCTTTTGGTGAACTCCTATTCAAACTTCAATACCTTGATCAGATATCCTATCTTCTCTGAAGCCTTACTTGATTCCCCAGACAGACTTAATCATTTCATCCTCAGTATTATATAGATTCTATGTATATGTGTGTACACACACGTAATCATTCTTCCTATCACATATTAAAATTATGTATCTGCATGCTACACTAGGCTACTTCTCCAGAGCCATATCCATGTCTTTGCATCGCTGATCTTACCACAGATCACATATCTGGCACATAATCAATGCATAACAAATACTTGTGAAAATGAGGTTAGGTAAACTGGCCACTGGTCTCTCTTGTTTTCCTTTAAACCCTTTATCACATACAGTCTTTTACCCACCCACTTCTAAAACTCCTTTTCTCTTTCTGGTGCAACCCTTCCACACACTCCTGCAGCTTCATCTGTTATCCTTTCTAAACCCCAATCAAATCCATATTTAATTCCATGATGTTGAATCCAAATATCAGTATATTCAGACTGTCACTTTTCTTGACATATCCAGCTTGTCCACTCCTTCCTTCCATTGGATGGTAGGAGTTGATTACTCTCTGCTAGCCAGTTGCCAAGAGCTATGTTAGGTATGGTATCTGCATCAATACCATGCATGGAACACTTCCCAGAAAGGTTTTGAGTCATTCGGAGAAACCAATTTACAGCCTCCACAATTTACAGCCTGGTGACTCATATGTGAAAAACCTGCCCACGATGAAGCCTTTCAATACATAAGGCTCAGCCACTCAAAGCTGATCTGTGGACCAGCATCATTGGCACCACCTGGAGCTTGGAAATGCAGGCCCCTGGACTTCACCCCAATTCTACTGAGTCAGAAAAGGAATTCCCATTAAAGTTTAAGAGACACTGGGCTGAAGTTCCAGACTACCTGGCCTGATACACAGGTCAGCAATCCATGGTCAAATGGTAAGAGATAGTTGCAAGGAAGGCAAGCAGTGATGGGGTTGAGATGAACGAACCCTGGGAATTGAGTGGACATAGTTCTATTTCAGATTTCAGGTGTACCTCTTACAAGCTATAATCCTCTGGCCTAGGCAATTTGCTCCCCTCTCCGATCCACATTGTGAAATGACATAAAAGCACTTGACTAGCCCACAGGACAGCTGTAAAGATGAGGTGAGAATGTAGGTCAAGTTCTTAGTACAAAACATAACACATAATGGGCAGTTAACTAATGCTATTTACTCCTTCCTCAGAGTTAATTTATTCTGGCTAGGTAAATCTATGCTGTGTCCTTGGGGAAGTTTTTGAGTTTTAGCAGGTCTAACCTCCCCACAGGTAGAGTCAAACCCCAGAAACTATTTTTAAAAACTTTACCTGTAGGTGAACTTTCAGGGTCTATTTAGAATTACAAAAGGCTCTTCTTCTTCCGGTAAAAGACTATGTACTGAGCCATGCTTCAGGTGTGGCAGGGAGATGTGCAGTCCCGAGGAGGAGGACCTTAGGGCAAGGACACCTGCCGTTTCTTCTGTGGTGAGCTGCTGCGCCTCCACCCCTAGGCAGGCATGATGTGCGTGTGCCGGGCTTGGTGCAGGGAGACCTCTGGCTCACACAACTCCCTAAGGAGTCCCAGAGCCACAGCTGGTGTGGGAGTCACTACCTCTAGAACTGGAGGCTCAGTTCTGGAGCCATGGGAGAGATTCACCCAGCACAAGCCTCTCCTTGTGAGATCTCAAAGGCACAGGGAAACTTTTCCAATAAATTAGGAGTGCCCTGGTTGTCCAATACCTGCTCTCCCTGAAAAGGTTCCTCACTCAGCATTCAGGAGCATTCACGTCAACGTGAGGCTATACGTCTGCCTGTTCCAGAACACTTGACCCCTGAGGCCGCAGGAATCATTGAGCTGACCCAGGTTTTGACATAGGTCTATGAGATCCTGTGCACTAGTGCCAGGGTGCCTGGGGGTGACTGTGGAAACAGGCTCCATAGCCTGCAGCTGACCCAGTTGTAGGCCTGGATTTCCCATTCTCTAACCATCTTTCAGGAGTCACCATTAAGGAAGTGGAAGGAGGAGACTCATCAGATCAAATAACCACTCACATCATTTTGTGGTTCAGAATTTATAGATGTCTCCTCTTAGTTTTCTTCAACTTTATTTTAATAAGAGGATCAGAACCTATAGTATGCTATTAATCCTATTACATATTTTTGGTGGTATACATTTGTCAAATATTCCTGATGTTCAGTTTTGGGTTTGGAGATGAATGGTATACATGCTAGGAAAATTACACTCATATGGCTTTATATAATCCATTAGCAAAGAGGGTATCTCTAGCCCATTTTTACAAACCTTTTTACCTGCATAGCCACATTTTCTGTATATTCATTTAGTAAGAAATTATAAAGAATCACCTATTATTTTAATCTTATTTAATAAACTATTTCTAGTATTTTAACCAGTATGTATGCATTCAGTTTTGTTTGTTTTGAGACAGAGTCTCACTCTGTAGCCCAGGCTGGAGTGCAGTGGTGTAGTCTTGCCTTACTGCACCGTGGGTTCAAGCAATTCTCCTGCCTCGACCTCCCTAGTAGCTAGGACTATAGTTGTGTGCCACCACACCCAGCTAATTTTTTGTATTTGTTTTTAAATAGAGACAGGATTTCACTATGTTGGCCAGGCTGGTCTTGAACTCCTGACCTCAAGTGATCCAACCCCCTCTCAAAGTGCTGGGATTATAGACATGAGCCACTGTGCCTGGCCTGCATTTATTTTTGAACATTTAGAATGAGGATTGCATTGTACTCAATGATGGGACTATAAAGATAAATAAAACAATGTCTCTGTCCTCAAGTTTCTGTCAGTCCAATGACAGCTTTCCAATGATTTTTAAAGATAAAGAGATTAAAAAGAAAAATGTTTTCACATTTTTACCCTGTAGCAATAAAAAGTGAATGATATAAATGTTTCCTGGATGATTTTCCCGCCATATAAGATATTACCTATTCTCAATCCATGAAAAAGGTAATAGGAAAAATGAATTAATGTCATCTAGGCTGCAGGACCCTTGAATTTGGCTATAAGTTTGTTGTCTTAGCCACCAGTTTATCCTTGATGCCTTAACTTACTGATGTGTTGTAAGATGAATGGACTTGTGAGATATTATTCTACTTCCTATGCAAATGTAGATATAAGATATAGAACCTCTCCTACTAATGCATTCATTTTCCTGGTTATGCAGTAGGGCAAAATGTATAAGGTACTGAGTTATAAAAGCTCTTTTGTAAATGCTAAAGAGTCACCCATCAAGCTTGAACAACTAGATACAGAATGACAACAACTATCCAGGTGCACAGCTCTGTGGGTATAGTCAGTATGACAACATTCAGAAGCCTCCTACACTGCTCTCCACAGGAGACTGGAAAGAGAAGTTTATGCATCACAACACTCTGGGATGAGCAGGAATTTGCAAAGCTCCAGAAACAAACTCTTTGCAATTAAGGTCCCTCTTAGTGATATTACATGTAGCTGTCTAAAGATGGTGCCCTGTTTTGGCAAACTCCTCCTGGATTTGTCTAAGCTTTCCTCTTCTTTCTTTCCCCTCTTACCACAAGACAAGAAAGAATGAGTGATCACATCCATTCTCATCTGGAACTGCCTAGCACCTACTTGTCCCTGTTTCTCTCTATTACTAGGTAGGAAAGATTGTTTCCCTTTGGATCCCAAGACCTGAAATTGTTCTCTCACATGACCTTCCGCTATTAAGCAAGACTATACCTGTTGAAAAAGACACCTGCCTCTTCTCCACCTCATGAAAGCAGGTTTTGAGTCTGCCTTGGAGTGTACTCGAGAGCAGCTGCATTACTATGCTTGTGTGTAGACATGTGTTAGGACAGTCACAGAGAAAAGGGGTGGCATTAAGGAGGCTCTCTGTGGTGACTGCAAGCTGAGCTTCCAGTGTCACTTAAAATGTCCCATCCTGGTTCTGTCCTGCAGTCCTGATACTGAAGAACACAGGTCCTTCTTCAATGTCATTTGAAATGAAGAAAAAGTGAGAACTTTTCCCCTGCTCCAGCAGAAAAGAGGATCGACATAACCATTTAAATAGAACTTGTTTAGATATGCAGATGTGTAACTTCTTGGGGGCCACTTGAAGTATGGCAATGGACCAGTTGCTCAAGACCCTGAACAAATAAATATACCTCTTACCTGATGATTTCATATGGGCAACAGGATTTAGGTATTGCCAGTCAAAAGGATGAACCACAGCCAGGCAGCCGCAAAGGTAGAAAAGCGCATGCAATTTCAGTGGCACCATCTTGGGAGCTGAGCAGCAATTTCGGCTTTGTCTCCTTCAAAGCAGATGATTAAAAGCAAAAAAAAAAAAAAACATGCAATGAAGAGGCCTTAAATAGGCTGACAAATCAAGAGAGGCTGACGTACCAGTAACATTGGGGAAAAATGAAACACACATTTTCTGGGCTGGGTTTTAGATTGGTACTAGAATGATAAAGTCCTTGGTAATGTAATTACCTAATTACATTACATAATCCTACATTACCAAGGATTACGTTGAATTGTAGAGCACAGAAAAAATACTTTCCAACAGATTAGAGTTTTGGTCACTAGTTTTCTAACTTTATAACGGTATATTTGGCTATAAAAATAGTCAACAAAATATAACAATTACAACAACTATCTATATCATCATCATATCCATAGATATGTCCAGCACATAGTAAACAGTTCACAAATTTTGGTTATTTCCATTATTTAATTATACAGTGATTATATTTCTGCTGCTGTGGTTGTTTTTGGTATTAACATGTTATATGCTTGGTAATTTCTATAATCCTACTAAAACATAAGTTTCCAAAAAGCAGAAATCATTTTTTTTATTTGTTATCTCAGTGCCTAACAGAGGGCCCGGCAAGAAGTAATACTTAATAGATGCTAGCTGAATCAGTAAATGAAACAACAGAATATGAGATGTGTGGTAATAATAAATTACATTACAATTAGGCTGTATGTTTACATTTTATTAGCAAAAACTATCTTACATTTGTTCATTCATTTTCCCCTTTAAAATGTGGCCCTTCAACTTTTGGGGGGAATGGAAAAGGTACAAGCCACTACCATCTCTCACCTAAAATTTGCTGTCACCTCTAATGTGTCTGCCTGCTTTTGCCCTTGACGCTATAATCTAAGCCCAACACAACAGCCAGAGTGATTGTGTCATCCTTCTTCACAAAACCCCCAAATGGTGTCATATGTTACAAGGCAGAAGCCATTGACCCTAAATAGTATATAAGGTTCTACATAGCTTGTACTCAGCACACTCCCAATCCTTCCACTATCCTCTCTTGCACACCTGCTGCAACCATACTTGCTTTCTTGCCATTCATAAGACATGCCAAGTACTCCACGCCTACCCTCCATCCCCACCTTGAGGGTTTTGTATCTGTTGTCTCTTATGGGAATGCTCTTTGCTCTGACATCCAAATGACTGGCCCTCTCATCTCTGGGTTTTTGCTCCAGGGATACTTTCTCAGTGACACTTTCCCTGATCAATCTATTTAAAATTGCAATCTAACCTCCTTTTTCACACCAATACATTCCCTATTTCCCTCTCTACTTTAATTTTCTCCAATATGTATCACCAACTAACAAACTTTGTATGTTGTTTGTTAACTGTTTATCACCTTCCATGAAAAACTTAGTTCTGTGAGTGTAAGAACTTTTGATGGTTTTTCCCCCTGCTTTATTCCCAAAACCTAAAATAGTGCCTGGTATACAGAGGCACTCAATAAATGCCTGCTGAGTGAATAGATCTAGCACATCTGGTTACTAATATAAACTGACCCCTGTTTAATGATCCGGTGTCCCATTGACACTAATGAAGTATTAGTTAGTATAGCTATTTCGTGGGAAGATGTCATAAAGATGCGTGGCATAGACAATCGGTGCTCCTGAACGTCTATGGGCTTCCCTACATTTCTTAGCCACCCCTGTGGCTAGGCCAGGCCCATGGGACTAATTCCTGAGAAACAGAAATTTGAACCAAAGAGGTATGACAGAGTCATTCTATCTCCTTCATTCCTTCCTTTCCCTCACACAGCAAACTTAGAAATCACATGCTAATGTAGTGGAGTCTTGAAGTGAAAGAAGCCTGTATGCCTAGTCACTGAACAGAGAAGAGCCCCTGCCAATTCAAATGACCTTTCACAAACAGGAAATAAACCTTTGCTGTGTTAAGCCACTGAAAATTTCCAGATGAAGCTGTTATTGCCATACTGGAGCATAGCATGGCCGATCTTGAATAATAGCAGATCTGTAGTCATTCAATCAAAGGGTATTTCTTAAGCAAATACTATATGCCCTCTCCTATGGCAACAATTGTGATAAGTGCCAGAGAATCTGATACAATCCCTACTCTCAGAGAGTTTACAATTGTGTTTGAGAGACAAGACTAGCATATATTAATAATATAGGAAGAAAGCAAATTACAGGGGCATTTTATAATTCTTAAATAATACGGTATAAGTTCTCAGAAAGAACAGGAATTCAGAGAGAAAGATTTCAAAGAGATGGGGCTGTAGTAAGGGGAGCTCCTATTGCATAGGTTATAAAGACCCAGAGAGGCAGCTGGGAAATGTGTTGCTAGGGCTCCAAACTTCTTCAACTACTTGCAGAGGGACTATATTTCCCTATTAACATCTTCCTTTTGATCAGAAAAAAGGTACGTGTAGTGTAACTTGAGATTATTTATAGTTTTGGTTGATTTTATTGATCTTATTTCAGTATTATATTTAATTTTACTATAAAGTTAATACATGATTTCAAAAATCCAAACGTAACAGGAAAAGGTAAATTGAGTTGTCTCTTCACAAATAACAACTTGTTAACAGATTTTTTTCCAGAGGTATTTCTAGGCTTGAATACATAAACACTGCAGAGGCCAAGTGGGGCACGGGTGGCATTCCCCTTGAATTTCTGAAGGTTCACTCAGAAATCAATTCATAAAAGACAGGTTATTCATTCAATGTGTATTGACAATGATCCTTCAGAATGAAGACCCAAAGATACAGGGGAAATTGTCTATTTTTATGCATACGTTCAACAAAGTATGAACAGCTGTGTAGAAAGATGACTGGACAAGAAGGGTAAGCTATAATGCTAGTAGAATAAGAGAAGAAACCCAGCAAGGCCTGTCTCTTCAGATTCTTCCCGGTCCCTCTGTGCAGCATTCCGTCCTCCAGGGTAGGAGGAGCCCTCCCGGAATGAAGGTCTTATAACCTAAAATCAGATTAAAGTCCTGCCTTGGACAGGGGAAAGGAAGGCAGGAAAAGGTCAGAAAGAAACATGTTATTTTCTGAGACTTGCTCTTGAGGGCTAAAGCACTCCAATATTATAACAAAAGACTGTAGCAAGGGCTATGGGAGTTATGAACCAGGAACTATATTAACATGTAATAATTACAATGACCACAGAAGCTTCTGAATATGAACACATAGGAATAATTCATAAAGTGTCTTTTAACTTTTAAAGTTCTCTTTCCACAGATAAGTGCCCTTTTGTCAACCATGGGATATGAGTTACCTAGAAATGTATTTATATTAAGAGCGAGGACCCTGAAAAGCCTAATGGTAACTTTAGACATTCTCTTAGAAACAGAGAATCCAAAGTGACTACACTGAAACCCTTGATATAGCAGTCTTCATCATCACATTATATGAAAATGTATTACCATAACCACAATCACTGGTCAATTAAAAAAAAAATTTTTTTTCTTTCTTTTTTTTTTTTTTTTTTTGGAGACAAGAGTCTCATTCTGTCACCCAGGCTAGAGAGCAATGGCATCATTGGCTCACTGCAACCTTCACCTTCCAGGTTCAAGCCATTCTCCTGCATCAGCCTCCATAGTAGCTGGGACTAGAGGCACCCACCACAATGCCTGGCTAATTTTTATATTTTTAGTAGAGATGGGGTTTCGCCATGTTGGCCAGGCAGTCACAAACTCTTGACCTCAGGTGATCCATTCACTTCTGCCTCCCAAAGTGCTGGGATTACAGGCTTGAGCCACCCCACCCAGCCAAAATTTTCTTTGAGAAACATGTAACTGGTCAAACAGATCAATAATTAGTAAACCAGAGTCTAGGAACACAGGACTTATGTTTTAAAACTGCAAAGTTTACCAGAACAAAGTCAGCAATGCCAGTGGATTTATAAATGGATACACTGATTTCAGGAAGGCAATTTGACAAGCCTTAAATTGTCCACACCTTAACTGACGTTTTAATTAAATTTCTGGGATTAGCATAAAAATATCTTACATGCAGGAAAACTAAAATCTAAATGCACTACAACGTTTATTCCGGCTCTAAGAGCTAACACATACACATACATATACTTACAATGGAAACCCTACAAATGTCAGAGGATATAATCAATGAGATTTTTATTCTCTTATTGACGTGATATTCACAACATTAACTATTTACAATGCAATTTTAATTAAAATATATATATATAAAATTATCATGTAAAAAACAATTAATATAAAGAGGGGTGATGGACTTACGGGTGTTTTTCCCACTTTTTACTATAAAATTTATTCATTTACTAATAATTTTTAAAAGGACATTTAACCCGGGAACATGCAAATATGTTATGTTCCATGGCAAAAGGGGATTAAGATGCAGATGGAATTAATGTTGCTAATCAGTTGACCTTAAAATAGGGAGATTATCATGGATTATCTGGCCCAGTGTAATCACAAGAGTCCTTCAAATTATACGAGGATGGCAGAAGAAGAGGTCCGAATGATGTGATACGAGAACGAACCCACCATGGCTGGGTTTAAACATGAAGGAAGTGGGCATGAGCTATGATATGTGGGTGGCCTCTAGAATCTTGGAAATAATTATCTTTAATTTGGGCTTTTGACCACTAGATAAAATATCCTCCTGGCAATCAAAAGTGTTTGTATGTTCATGAAGATGTTTAATATCAAGTAAAATGCCATGTAGAGAATTAAGAAAATTATCCATGATTCCAGATATTGAAGGAGAAGAAGGAGGAGGAGGAGGAGAAAGAGGAAGAAGAAGAGAAAGAAGAAGGGGATGAGGAGGAATAAAAATAAATATAAAAAATAACAAATGTTTGCAAAGTTTATCTCCTTTGGAGAGTTTTATGTAGTTAGAAATTAAGGTAATTTTTAAATATTTTTCCTACTTCTCTGTTGTCCAATATTCCAAATCAATGGGAATGTTCACTTTAAAAATTGTCGGGGACCGTCCGGGACGGGTAGGCACATCTGCCAGGGGTCTCTCGACCTGCAAGAGGGTCCCAA